AGAGTCAGACCATATCAATAAGTATATAATGCAGTATTGTTAGCTATAGTCAACATGCCGTACATTAGATCTCCAGAACTTACTCATCTGGCACGACTGGAACTTTGTGTCTCGGGTACGTGACATTTGCTAAGAGACTAGATCTTATGGGTTCTCACCACACATGTAAATAAAAATGGTAACCCTGTGAGATGATGGATGTGTGAGTAGCTCAAGGGTGATCATTTCAACATGTATACATATATCAAAACTTCAAGTTGTTTACCTTAATATATATAATTACCCAAAATTGCACTTTTTTTTTTTTTTTTTGAGACAGAGTCTTGCTCTTGTTGCCCAGGCTGGAGTACAGTGGCACAATCTTGGCTCACTGCAATCTCCAGCTCCTGGGTTCAAGCAATTCTCCTGCCTCAGCCTCCCGAGTAGCTGGGATTACAGGTGCCCACTAATTTTTGTATTTTTGTACAATGCCCCACTAATTTTTGCATTTTTAGTAGAGATGGGATTTCGCCATGTTGGCCAGGCTGGTCTCAAACTCCTGACCTCAGATGATCTGCCTCCCTCGGCCTCCCAAAGTGCTGGGATCGCAGGCGTGAGCCACCGCACCCAGCCAAAAAATGCAGTTTCTAAAAAAAAAAAAGCGGACGAACTCTTTTGGGATTCATTATTAGAACCTGATTTGAGTGGCAGTTCTAAGATTTTGTAAACCATACATTACCATTCTTATTGTTTTTTAATCCATTAAATATTTAATATCTGTTAGGAGCAATGTAAAGAAGGAATATAAGGCCGAGACGGGTGGATCACGAGGTCAGGAGATCGAGACCATCCTGGCTAACACAGTGAAACCCCATCTACTAAAAAATACAAAAAAAAACTAGCAGGGCAAGGTGGCAGACGCCTGTAGTCCCAGCTACTCGGGAGGCTGAGGCAGGAGAATGGCGTAAACCCGGGAGGCGGAGCTTGCAGTAAGCTGAGATCCGGCCACTGCACCCCAGCCTGGGCGACAGAGCGAGACTCCATCTCAAAAAAAAAAAAAGAAGGAATATAAAATACTCCCCTAACTATCATGTACTTTAAAACTTAGCTGGAAGATAATACTGTTGTTGCATGTCAGACAACTAGAAAATACAGCAGTATTAACAATATCACTAATTTTAATAAGTTCTTTTTTTTTTTTTTTGAGAAGGAGTCTCACTCTGTCACCCAGGCTGGAGTGCAGTGGCACAGTCTCGGCTCACTGCAACCTCCACCTTCCGGGTTTAAGTGATTCTCATGCCTCAGCCTCCTGAGTAGCTGGAACTGTAGACGCCTGCCACCACACCGGGCTAATTTTTTTTCTATTTTTAGTAGAGATGGGGTTTCACTGTATTGGCCAGGCTGGTCTCGAACTCCTGACCTCAAGTAATCTGCCTGCCTCAGCCTTGCAAAGTATTGGGATTATGGGGTGAGCCACCACGCCCAGCCTGAATAAGTTTTTGCTAGATACTAGGCACTGTTTTAAGCACTTTAGATGCATTATATCACTTAATTACTAAAAACTAACTCTGAGGTTATTTCATTATTAATATCCCTGTCATGGAATTTGATCAAGGATACAATCAGTGGCAGAGCCAAGTGTTAAGCCCAAATCTTTCTGACTATATACCTTACATTTATTATCACTGTATTAGAATTGTTACAGCATTTTGAATTTTTTTTTTTTTTTTTTGAGATAAGGTCTTGCTCTGTCACCCAGGCTGGAGTCTAGTGGTGTGATCATGACTCACTGCAGTCTCGACCTCCTGGACTCAAGCCGTTCTCCTCTGCCTCTTGGGTAGCTGGGATCACAGGCACGTACAACCATGCCCGGCTAATTTTTGTATTTTCTGGAAGAGACGGGGTCTCGCCATGTTGCCTAGGGAGGTCTTGAACTCCTGGGCTCAGACAATCCTCCTGCCTTGGCCTCCCAAAATGCTGGGACCACAGATGTGAGCCACTACACCCAACCTGAACTACTGTTTTTTAAGTTTTACATGAGAGTTCTAAATTGATGACTAAATTAAAATGCATACACTTTTGATTTTGGGGCTTACACCAGGAGTGTCCACTCTTTTGGCTTCTCTCGGCCACATTGGAAGAAAAAAAATTGTCTGGGGCCATACATAAAATATGCTAACCATAGCTGATGAGCTAAAAAAAGAAATTGCCAAAAAAATAAATCTCATAATGTTTTAGGAAAGTTTATGAATTTGTGCTGGGCCGCATTCAAAGCCATCCTGAGCCGCATGCAGCCTGCAGGCCACAGGTCGGACAAGGTTAGTTTACACCTTAAAATTTAGGGTAATCAACACTTTGTATTTTGATATTATTTCTATAGACGAGTTATTTCTCACATCCTTTAGCTTTTGTTTAGCTTGTTTTATTCATGTAACACTCAGATGGACACATGGTATTGTTCCGTGTGATTTGGGTACATGAGCCGAATCATTTCTCTCTTATTTCCCTAAGTTTCTGCGTGTAAACTTGATAATTTATATATCAGACTCCAGAATGGGTTTACTTTTTGCATTATTGTACAATTATTTCAAAGTTGACTTTGATCACATCTATATTGTTTTGTATCTGATGAATAAGTATTGTAATTATCTTAAAATTTGTAAAAGAAAAAATACTCATCCAACCAAATAAATAAACTTAGGACATTAGGAGTTTAATAGACATTGAGACTTCTACCAGCAAAAAAGCAAAATTGAAAGATAACTGAAAATACCAGGTCTTCTGTCTTGTCCTTTCTACGCTGCACAGCTCAGTGCGTAGTTAATAGGATAATCAGACAGAACGGCAGATGCACTCTGCTAGTGAAAGACACTGAAGATGTGACCCCAGGAAGTTCCAGTACAGTTATAAACTGCAGGTAGAGAAGATACAATTTCAGGAGGTTTGGACACCGGAATCACACAGCTTCTCTGTCCACAATGCAAGAAAGAGAATATGATGGAAGACCGTGGACTTTACAGTCAGGTGGAACCACGTTCAAATCAAAACTCAGCTCAGCAAAGGGCACCACTAACACTAGTTGGGTAATTTGAGTAGGTGACTCTTTTCTAGCTTTTGAAGGCTAAAAACTAGGGAGGGGCACTTCACACAGAAGGAGCAGCATGCAGGCAGGCAGTAAAGATGTTCTCGGTTGTTGTGTCCGGTTCTGCGTGTGTTTCGCACCCTCTGCCGTTTGCCTCCAATCCTCCTTTTGTTTCTATAACAACCTCCTCTCCCTTTTCTAAACGGCCCTTCCCCTGCATATCTTGGCTTATTCTTCCACCATCTCTTCCTGCTTTGGAATTGCTGCTCAGGAACTCAGCGCAGAAGGGCAGGGGTGAAACTGATCGAACACCAAGTGGAAGAAGAGTTTTGGGAGGGGTCGGTGGTGATGTTTCATAACAGTGTGAACGTACAGAATGCCACAGAACCGTACGCTTAGAAGTGCTTAAAATGTGGTTTCATTTTACCACAATAAAAGGAAGAAAGAAAAAAAGATTGTACAGAGAAAACTTGTCCTATGACTGAATTCATGAGTCTGATTTTTTAATGTGAAACTTAGTGCAGGTCAGTACTCCCTTTGCAAATAAGATTAGCTTCCTTCAGAGAAAGTTTGAATCAATAAAGAAAATAACAAAATACAATCATGGATCAATTCCCCAAGCGGTTTGGTCTTCCTCAGTATTTCTTTCTCAACAATGCCTATGAAAAGCCAACAGAATAAACTCTTTCACCTTTTAAGAAATAATTATAAACAAAATTTAGAACATTATACATTAGTCTGTGTTACTGAATTGTAAAAAATTACCATGTTATTGGATACTGTATTGCCTTGGCCAATTGGTTTATATATCCTTTTTTTTAATTAAAATATTATTAAAATGGAGACAGGGTTTCACCATGTTGTCCAGACTGGTCTGGAACTCCTGAGCTCAAGCAGGTCATCCACCCGCCTTGGCCTCCCAAAGTGCTGGGACTACAGGCATGAGCCACTGTGCCCAGCCTACATATCTTTTTTAAAAACTTTATATTCTTTACTAATTGGTTTTCAAACTTCTTAACAGTAAAAGCTTTTTTTCTCCAAATTAAATGTTATGCAGAATCTTTAGTATATAAAACAGACAATGCAGAAAGCATAGCTGGGCTAGTAGAAATTAGCAGGGGAAGACCCAAGGGCCCTCCCTGCTGGCCTTTCCCCAGTGGCCTACCAGCCCTCGAGGCACTATGCGAAGGAAACGGTGAAAGGCACTGCTCTACAACGTACATGTGGAGAATCTGTGGTAGCTTCCATGTGTGTGTGGTCAGTCCTAGGTTTTAACACTAGGTTCTTAGCATTATAACTCCCATTACATCATGTCTGTGAGAAAATCAGGTTTAATGTATTTTATTTCAACTTACAGCACCTTTCCTAAGACTAACCTGGCACAAAAGAATCAGTCCTCTAGCAAGCTTGTCTAACCCACCTGATTTTGTTGTTTGTTGTTCTGTTTTAGGCTTTTAGCAACCTGAAGCCATGGTTTTTAGTTTCTGTCTCTAGCGATGCGCAGGAAAGAGAGATGAGGAAGGGGCTTCACTGGCCCAACCAGAAACAGAAACTAACAACCCGTGACTGTATTCTCTCTGTTGGACACCCCTGGATGAACTGTTATATCACAGTGGTTTGGTGAGCTGTGGGATAGGCAAAAACCCTTGGATTTTTATGAAATTAAATTATCTGAAATATGTTTTTCAAATGGTATGTCAGGAATGATTTAAAATCTTTTGGCCGGATGTGGTGGGTCTCGCCTGTAATCCCAGCTACTTAAGAGACTGAGATGGGAGGATCCCTTAAGCCCAGGAGTTCCAGGCCAACCTGGGTGACAGAGTAAGATCTTATCTCTTAAAAAAGGAAAGAAAGTGAGTGTCACGCTCTAGAATGTATTGCCTTGTTAAAAATGATTGCTGTTTAACCTTGGCTTTCAAATTGACTGTCTTTATTGAAGGCTTTATTGAAAAGGCTTGAGGCTGTGAAACCAACAGTAGGTATGAAACGCTCAGAACAACTGATGGACTATCATCGCAATATGGGCTATCTCAGCTCATCACCACTGTCCAGACGAGCCAGATCCACTCTCGGCCAATACAGCCCATTAAGTAAGCAGGACAAAATAGATCAAAATTATTTTATATTTGTTTGTATCTTGTATCCATTTTTTAAAAAAATGTCACTTATGTTATTCTGATAGAGTTTTAAATGCCAGCACTGGAGTGCATTCTGTTATTTCTCACTGTCATGTTTTGTTTTATTTGTATTAGTTCACTTAATTTCAGGTTTCATTTACAGCCTATAATGACAGGAAGGAAACCAGGAGATAAAACAATCGAAAATATCAGTAGGTTCTGAGGTAATTGAGGAAGTACTTTTAATTTTAAAGTTGATTGAGGGAAGAAATGCATAGATGTGCTGTTTAAAAGCTGCTGAAACGTTCTCCCTAGGTAGTTAAGAATTATTGCTAATAGACTCCAGCCCTTATATGTGCTTTTTTTTTACTTACTGGATAACTAAAACAAAAATTAGCAAACTGATCACACAGCAAGCCTTACCACTTTACAGTAAGCAGTAAGGCTTGTTGTGTGATCAGTTACAGACCTAGCCAGTTGTGTGTCCCAGAGAGTACAAGAATGGAGTGACCATTTAGTGCCGGAGTGTGCAACATCTAGAAAGGTCAGTGTCCTTTACAGAAGTTTATGTTGTACTTGATGTATGCATTCTAAACTATGTAATAAATAGAAGGTAATACCAAACCATTCGATGCCACAACTTCCCAGCGCCTGCCCCGTGTGAGTCTTCAACTCTCATGACTAGTAGTTCCATTTATTCTTCTCCAAACCTTGCTTCCGTGGTATAGTGACTAAGACAGGGTCTTGTTTTAGTAAGTCATACTTTAGCACTGTCCCTAAATGTAGTATATAAATGATTATACGAAGGGATTTTTTTCGCATGAATTATTTGAGAAGCTTTTACAAATGTTTGTTTTCCATGCCAGTCCAGTGCCTCAGAATCCCCTGGGGTGGCATCTGGGTGTGTTTGTTACTATATTTTTTGAGTTCCACAGGGAATTCTGAAGTGCATTCCTAGTCGAGAATCATTGCATTAGACTATTAGACACACATAGAATGTGGAAGAAAAACTAGTCTGGACTTAAAGTGAGGAGAAGTTTCTCAGATATTTCTTCTTTGTGTATTTTCAGGAGGAGCTTCCAGGACATCCAGTGCTACGAGTGGTCTCAGTTGTAGGAGTGAGCGATCAGCTGTTGACCCCTCCAGTGGCCACCCTCGAAGAAGACCTAAACCCCCTAATGTCCGTACAGCTTGGTTATAAAACACTTTTTTTTACTTTAAACATTGTTCACACAACTTTTATTGAAGTGCTCGTGCTATTACGATAATTCTCTGTGTAAACATCTATAATACCGTTTAGCAATTTAAGGTGTACAACAGTGCATTGTAATTTATTGTTATTCAGTGCAAAATTATTGTCAAAAAGACGATTTAATGTAAAGAGTGTTTCCTGAGGATGTATTCATATAAGATGTGTTCTTAATAGAGAAATAGTGGTATGCATGTGTATCTTCTTATTATAGAAATTGATTCCATTGTCATGCTGTCAAAATAGTAATGATAGTATCATTGCATGTTGTACTCAAGATGTTCACTATATAGTTTTCAATTTGTGTTATTTTCATTTCTTTATAAGCGTTATACCATGAGCTTAGCTCCTAAATTTGGCTGGCTTTGTTTTTCATCTGCTTTAGAACTTACGTGGCATGGCGTAGCTTGATTGTATGAGATTGAACACTGATTATGAAACAGATCTTGAAATGTGTTTTCATTGGTAGAGCTGATCTAGATTTGATGAGCAGATTGAGAGACGCTTCTATTGGAGCAATTCTTGTAATTCACCAGAGGTGTCTAGTTATTGTATAAGTGCACTGAGTGTTAGATCTTAAAAGTTTGATCAACCATTCCAAACCATTTCAAATATGAATATTAGAAAGTTCAACTTAGAAGCTTCCCTTTGTGTTTTTATGCATTCAGGTAAAGTCCTATTTATGATTCTTAGAAATGAGGTAGGTTTTAGAGCTACAGTCTTCTAACTTGTGAATAGTTTAAGGACCACATCAGTTGCATCATAAGCAAAACCTGTAGTATTTGTTGAATCAGTGAAATGGCACCATCAGCATGAAGAGCCAAGAAGCAGATCCTGGGGTGTGCTGGACAGCGTTTTAGGTAATTCAGTATTTACTGTGTTACTAGAGAAGACCTAGCGTAAGAAAGAAATGCTTTAGAAATTCCAGTAAGTATTTATAAGGCCTGAGAAAACTAAAATTTGAACAAAAAGGGAAATAAATCACACATTTGCTGAGGCTGCTGCTTTAAATATTGGCTACTTTTCTTGTTTTGGTTTACTCTGATTTGTTTGATTGAACCCTGGAAGTATTATTTTTACCAGCCCCACATTTAAAGACCTAGTAATCTTGACGGAATTGGTAATGGCAGATAGGGTTTAATACTGCTGACTTTCCAAATTAGAATTTTTTTTCTGTCAAACTTAGGCTTTTGTATAGCAAAGTATGGTATCTCATTGTTACCATCGTTGTTCACCACTAGCCTTTTCAGTAGGCCCTTAAAATGTATTGGAAAAGTTCCATGTTAAATGACAAATGTCTGTCTTCAGTATGAATTTTTGATCTGTAGCCACAGTAAGATTTCTGTTTTCCAGTGGTCAGGCTCTGTAGCACGTATGCTGAATGCTTTTTCCTTAGCACCTTTAACAGTAACGTGTTACTACATTTTCCAAAACATCAATTCAAATGTCTCGGTTTTAGTTTGTATTAATAGATTTTGTTGAGGGTAGGGCCTGCGAACGTGGGCGCAGTGAGGTTAAATAATTCATGTGACCACAACCTGGCTTTGAGGTTCTTCTTCTTTAGGGGGCCATAATGTTCATTCATTGTTATTTGATGCTCTGTTCTGATGAACATGTTATTACACCTGCTGTATATGTAAGCTTTAGCTATACTAAACCAAGGCTTTATTTTCTTTTGTTTTTTAACTTACTGTACTTTGAATGTTTATATAACCTGTATTTCAAGAGAGGGAAGATAATGCTGAATTTTAAATTTAGCCTTTGAACATCTGTCCAATAGTGAATCAGTTTTTTAAAAATTGATTTTTAAGTTGTTCCAGAAAAATGTTTTATATATATAATCTTTTTATATATATAAAATCTTTTTTATAAATTTTATTTTAAAAATCTTCAAAAAAAGATTTATATATATATAAAGATTATATATATTTATATATAGTCTTTTCTGTTCATAATGGCATTAGTCTCTGAATACATTTTATATTATCTTTGCTGCCACATGTCAGGATACAACACAATAGTTTTATAAATAAAAACTGTACTTTGATTTTAGGTACTAATTTAATGCTTTAGTTTTTACTACTTTGAAAGGGGAAGTTCATCTAAGTATTACTGATAACAGGGATCCAACTTAAAGTAAAAGTTGGAAAGGGCAACAGTCTTTTAAGCAGAACTTACAATTCTGTTGTCATGGTTACTTATATATAATGAATATGACTAGACAAATAGGAGTTGGAAAATGTGGTATATTCTCTAAGTCAAGATGCTCTGAAGTTATTATAGTTTAAGGGACATTCTTAAGGAATTACTTAAGTATATTACTCTTTTTGTTTTCAAGGACATGAAAAAGTAAAGGATGGTCGAGCACTATTTTATATTTTTTTGACCTGTACTGAATATATGTACTTTGAAGATTTACATCTATAACTAGAAAGTATAGTAATCTGAGGTTTGGTTATTAGGCCAGATTCTTGTTCAGTTATTTTTATCTCTGTCAAAAGTTAGAACTAATGTTGCCTCCTTCTTAGTAAGATTCTATGAAAGTTTTTTAACTATTAAAGTTATGTCTTAAGGGGTAGCTCTTATACTTCCTCTACTGTCCTTTTCAGTTTCCATAAAAAGCTGTTTTCTTAGCGATTACTCCAAATAAAGTTCTTCGGTTTGCTGAAAAATGTAGTGTAATGCAGTTGTTTTCTCCCTGCTAACCCGAGTGTCCAAAATAGGTATCTAGACAGCTTTAAGAAGGTGACGGTCACGGGTAAGTGATGACTGTGCCTCTCATCTTCAGATTCTTCAAATACTGCATACTGTGAAACATGTTAAGACCAATATAAATCCAAAGATGTGAGTTGATTATACTTTAATAATTAAATTCATAAAAAGTTTACTATCTTTAATGCCAAAAAAGTCTTAACCCATAAATGATTATATACAATCTTAGAAAATGTGCTTAACAGTTATGGCTTCTTTATTTCTATGAGTAAAGATTAGTAAGAAACTTAAAATTAACATCCTTTTAAAATTTTCTGTTCCATTTTAATGTATTTTAGGCATTTAGAACTAGCCTGGCATAATGAAGAAGGAAATAAAAGCATTAAAGATAACTGAGTTTTGATCCTATGTTTATCTCTAAAATGCGCTGTCTTGTTCCTATTTTCAAAATCAGAATAACTTTTACGTGCCTTACAAGACCAGGAATTAGTAGGAATAAAGTTGGAAGGATGGTGTCAGTTATTTCTGTCTTTGAAAGTATAATATTTACATGGAAAAGAGTTTGCTTAAAATTATATTCTTAATCAGAATTTATTTAAACTACATCATCTAATTGCTTCTGTAAAATTGTTATGGTACTACAATACAGTGGACACTCTTACAGCTTAAAGAAATGGGCTTTTTGTTGTTGTTGTTTGTATTTTTGAGATGGAGTCTCGCTCTGTCACCCAGGCTGGAGTGCAGTGGCACGATGTTGGCTCACTACAACCTCCGCCTCCCAGGTTCAAGCAATTCTCCTGCCTCAGCCTCCTGAGTAGCTGGGATTACAGGCACACGCCATCATGCCTGGCTAATTTTTTGTATTTTTAGTAGAGATGGGGTTTTGCCATGTTGGCCAGGCTGGTCTCGAACTCCTGACCTCAAGTGATCCACCCACCTCAGCCTCCCAAAGTGTTGGGATTACAGGCGTGAGCCACTGCGCCTGGCCAATAAATATTTTTTAAAAGTAGTCATGTACATCAACGTTTCTTACATGTTCTGTATGAGTAATAAACACCTAAAGCTTGCTGCAAAACATCAGTTTAGGAACTTTTTATGAGGGTTTAATAAAACTAGCGCCATTGGAATAAATTCCCGAGTAGCTCCTGCAGTAGCTTATCTGAGCTCTCAACAGCAAAGAGAAAGAACGCTAGAGCAAATAGGATTATGTTATGGCAGAAATTTTTATTTGATTTTTCAATTCTGGTGATGGATTTTTAATTCATTTAGAGATATTTTTGGAGCCACCATAATAGACTCAAGATTCTATGCTTCCATTTCCAAATTTATTTGGTAAATCCAGGTAAGTTGCACTATTTGCCCTAGATGACATTTTTGAGGTTTAACTGGTTTACAAAATAAAATTTAAGAGGTAACATCATTATTTTACTATAATGAGACAGAGTTTTTTCACATGACTCTAATCCACAATTATAAGATAGTAAAAGAATTTGAGGCCGGGGACGGTGGCTCACACCTGCAATCCCAGCACTTTGGGAGGCCGAGGCGGGCGGATCACAAGGTCAGCAGTTCGAGACCAGCCTGGCCAATATGGTAAAACCCCGTCTCTACTAAAAATACAGAAATTAGCCACGCATGGTGGTGGTGTGCCTGTAGTCCCAGCTACTCGGGAGGCTGAGGCAGCAGAATCACTTTAACCCAGGAGGCAGAGGTTGTAGTGAGCCAAGATCACGCCACTGCACTCCAGCCTGGGTAACAGAGCCAGACTCCATCTCAAAAAAAACGTATTTGAAGAGTCACCAAAAATGATAAAAACTATGGTGCCAAATTCTTACAGGATATATATTGCAATGATAGTCTTCACCAAAAAACCACACATCACATTTTATCTCATACATTTTGGAATTATAGCTAGTCTGCAAAGTCTGGAGGGTGCTTTGTTCTTGATTGCATTCTGAGAATCTATTTCATGCAGAAAATATGCAGCAGTAAGCAAATATATCTGTCTCCCACATAGTTACCTGTACAAACTAGAAAAATCTAATTGTTCCATTAACTACTGTCTTCACTTTTAACACTTGAGTGTAGTTTTGCCTGTTTTTGAGCTTCATATAAATGGGATTATGTTCTTGTGTATGACTTTGTAGCTCAACATCTTTATGTTTGTGAGATTCTTTGATATTGTTGCATGTAGCTGTAATTGGTTCACATTGATTTTTATGTAGTATTCTAGTACTTGACTATACCATGATTCATGTATCTATTATGTGGTTGATGGATATTGTGGGTGGTTTCTAGGTTTTGACTATTACAAATAATGCTGATGTGAGGACTTTTGTAAACGTGCCTTGGTTGCTCTGTGTGTACGTTTTAGTTGGGCATGCAGTTAGCAGTGGAGTTGCTGGCTCAGAGCCGTGCTTGTGTTTAACAGTGCCAGAGTCTTCCACAGTGAGTGTAACAGCTCCTTCTTCCACAAAAGTGTAAGTTTGTGTTGCTCTAGAGACTCGTTAATATTATTGTCAGTCTTTTTTTTCTTTTTCTTTTTCTTTTTTTTTTTTTGAGTCTGGGTCTTGCTCTGTCACCCAGGCTGGAGTGCAGTGGCCCGATCATGGCTCACTGCAGCCTTGACCTCCCTGGCTCAAGCGATCCTCCCACCTCAGCCTCCCAAGTAGCTGGGACAACAGGCATGCGCCACCATGTCCAGCTAATTTTTGTATTTTTTTGTGGAGATGGGATTTCGCCGTGTTGCCCAGGCTGGTCTCGAGTGCCTGGGCTCAAGCAATCCTCCTGCCGAGGCCAACCAAAGTCCTTGCAATCCCAAAGGGATTCCATGTGTGAGCCACAGCAACTGGCCTTTCAGCCATTTTTTTAAAGTTTTAACTATTCAAGTAGATATTTAATATAGCTCATTGTGATTTTAATTGTATTATTTTGACTAATAATTAGATTGAACACTTTTTTAGAATTTTTCAACTTTTAGATATAGAGGGTACATATGCAGGTTTGTTACATGTATATTGTACCCAGGCAATGAGCATATTACCCAATGGGTAGTTTTTCGGTCCACGTCCCATTCCTTCCCTTCCCCATCTGGTAGTCCACAGTGTCTATTCCCATGTTCATGTCCGTGCATGCTCAGTGTTTAGCTTCTACTTAGAAATGAGAAGATTTAACGTTTCTGTGTTAATTTGCTTAGGATTATGGCCTCCAACTCCATCCACGTTGCTGCAGAGGACATGATTTCATTATTTTTATGGCTGTGTCATGTTCCTTGGTGCATATGTACCACATTTTCTCTATCCAGTCCACCACTGAAGGGCACCTCGGTCAATTCCATGTCTTTGCTATTGTAAATAGCATGGAGATGAACATACAATTGCATGTGTATTTTTGGAATAAGGCTTTATTTTTCCGTTGGGTATATACCCAGTAATGGGATTGCTGGGTCAAATGGTAGCTCTGTCTTCAGTTCTTTGAGGAATCTCCAAACTGCTTTCTGCAGTGGCTGAACTAGTTTACATTCCCATCAACAGTGTATAAGCATTCCCTTTTCTCCACAGCCTCTTCAGCATCTGTTGTTTTTTGACTTTTTATAATAGCCATTCTGACTGGTGTGAGATAGTATCTCATTGTGGTTTTGATTTGCATTTCTCTGATAGTGATAACGAACATTTTTTCGTGTTTCTTGTCCACTTACATGTCTTTTGAGAAGTGTCTGTTCATCTCCTTTGCCCATTTTTTTTTTTTAAGGTGGAGTCTTGCTCTGTGGCCCAGTGCTCTGCACTGGAGTGGTGCGATCTCGGCTCACTGCAACCTCCGCCTCCCGGGTTCAAGCGAGTCACCTGCCTCAGCCTCCCAAGTAGCTGGGACTACAGGTCTGTACCACCACGCCCAGCTAATTTTTGTATTTTTAGTAGAGATGGAGTTTCACCGTGTTGGCCAGGCTGGTCTCAAACTCCTGACATTTTGCCCTTTTTTTGAGATGGAGTTTTGCTCTGTCGCCCAGTCTGGAGTGCAATGGTGTGATCTCAACTCACCACAACCTCCGCCTCCCGGGTTTATGCGATTCTCCTGCCTCAGCCTCCTGAGTAGCTAGGACTACAGGTGTGCACCACGACTCCCAGCTATTTTTTATATTTTTAGTAGAGATGGGGTTTCACCATGTTGGCCAGGATGGTCTCAATCTCCTGACCTCATGATCTGCCCGCTTTGGCCTCCCAAAGTGCTGGGATTACAGGCTTGAGGCACCACGCCCGGCTGATTTTGCCTATTTTTTAATGGGATTATTTTTTGCTTGTTGATTTAAGTTCCTTGTAGATTCTGGATATTAGTCCTTTGTCAGAGGCATTGTTTGTGAATATTTCCTCCCATTCTGTAACTTCACTCTGTTGACAGTTTCTTGTGCTGTGCAGAAGCTCTTTAGTATAGTGAGGTCACGCATGTCAATTTTTGTTTTGTTGCAGTTGCTTTTGAGGACTTAACCAAAAATTCATTGCCAAAGTCAATGTTTAGAGGGGTATTTGCTAGGTTTTTCTCTAGGATTTTTTTTTTTCCCTTGAGACAGAGTCTGGCTCTGTCACCTAGGCTAGAGTGCAGTGGCTCACTGCAACCTCCGCCACCCTGGTTCAAGTGATTCTCCTGCGTCAGCCTTTTGAGTAGGGTGCCACCGTGCCCGGCTACTTTCTGTATTTTCAGTCGAGTTTCACCATGTTGGCCAGGCTAGTCTTGAATTCCTGACCTCAAGTGATCCACTCACCTCAGGCTTCCAAAGTGCTGGGATTACAAGTGTGAGCCCACTGCGCCTGGCCTCTTCTAGGATTTTTAGAGTTTGAGGTCGTACATTTAAATATCTAATCCATCTTGAGTTAATTTTAGTACATGGTGAAAGGTATGGGTCTGGTTTCAATCTTCTGCATATGGCCAGCCAGTTATCCCAGCACCATTGACTTAACAGGGAATTCTTTTCCCACTGCTTGTTGGTGATGGCCTTGTCGAAGATGAGATGGTAGTAGGTGTGAAGCTTTACTTCTGAGTTTTCTCTTCTGTTCCATTCTATTCTACTCTGTTTTTGTATTTTTTTTTTGTTTTTTTTTTTTTTTTTTTTTTTTCTTTTGGCCTGCTCAGCTGTATACTTTACGACCAGTCACGTCAGTGACCATTGGACCTATCTCTATATCTGGCCACTGTGGTCCCAGTACCAGCTGAGGCAATGGCTCCGGGAGCCTCCAGCTTGTGTCTTTGCACTTAGAAGGACTCGTCTCATAAAATACGCGCTCTTTTTTGGTTCCATATGAATTTTAGAATGTTTTTTTTTTTTTTTTCCCTAATTCCATGAAGAAATTAGAAGAAATGTTGGTAGTTTGATAGAGATAGTGTTGGGTCTGTAAATTCC